CCCCCCGCGCCCCACAAGGCCGGGGGCCCCCCACTCCCCCGCGGGCAGAGGTAGACGTGGGGGGCGGGGCCCGCGGGTGCCCCCACCCAGCCGGGGCCCGGCTCTGGCTCCGCCCCCAGGGGGAGGAGCTGCAGAGGCCCCGCCTGCGCCAGGGCCTGGAGGGCGGGGCCCAGCGCCGCCAGCGAATCCTGCGCCTCCGTTGGGCACCGCACCGCCACTGCGCAAGGCATGCTGGGATAGCCCCGCCTCCAAGCGTGGCCGCCTACGCCCCGCCCCCTAACATGGCTGCCCCCACCTGGGGAGTGTGGGGAAACATGGCTGCTCCCCCGAGCCTGGGGCATGCTGGGATTGCCAGGCCTCCAGCCCTGCTCCCTGTGGTGGGCTGGGCAACATGGCCGCCTCCAGTGGGAGCCGCCATCTTGGGGCATGGGGGAGGAGCCAGGGGCATGCTGGGACTTGTAGTCCCCCACGGCAGCCATCTTGACTCTACCTGGCTGCCCCAGGGCATGCTGGGACTTGTAGTCCTCCACAGCCCCAGCAGCCATCTTGGGTGCCCCAGTGCATGCTGGGAGCTGTTGCCCTCCCCCTTAGCCCTGGCAGCCATCTTGGTTGGGTCCCAGCACCCAGTGGTCCCCTCCCAACCCCACCCAGGCAGCCATCTTGGGTGCCCCAAGGCATGCTGGGACTTGTAGTCCCCCACCACCATGCTGGCAGCCATCTTGGGTGCCCCAAGGCATGCTGGGACTTGTAGTCCCCCACCACCATGCTGGCAGCCATCTTGGGTGCCCCAAGGCATGCTGGGACTTGTAGTCCCTCCACACTCTGGCAACCATCTTGGGTGCCCCAAGGCATGCTGGGACATGTAGTCGTGTGGGTGGGTGTGTCCCCGGTGGCCATCTTGTCCCCCAGCCGCCGCACTCACCGGGGGGCCGGGCAGCGCCGAGGCGAAAGGTGTCCCGCAGGGCTCGCGCCGCTCTCACCACCTCCTGCATGGCCGCCACCTCGGCCTCCATCTTG